GGAGGGGGGAGAGAGAGGAGAAATCAGCGGAGGTGCCGACGTGGACGTGGCAATGTCCTCCTTCCTTCGGCCACGTTTTATAATGCCGGAAAATAATAAGAATTTTCGTGTGCTTAGGCCCCCTTAGGGGGTGCTTACATCCCTATTTATGGCGACAGTATCTCGGCCTCTTTATGCCAGCTGCCTGGCAACTATGCGCGGCTCGATCCGCCGACTCGCGGCGGCCCGCTATTTTCTCCTTCTCCCACTTCTCCCCCTCGATTTTGTGGCAGAGGAGGAGAGAGGGGGGCGATAATGGAGACAAAGTTACGCATCTCGCGTTTTTCACCTCACCCTTCCCCTTCCTTCCTTCCTGTCTCCCTTAAACGATGATGACGAGAGACCGCGTAATCGGCCGATTTCCTCGGCCGGAATCACCGCCGAAATGACGAGATTTTCTCGAATCTCAGCGGTTTTCGTACGATATAGTATATCGTAGTACGAGCAACGCGAAATTTTAATTTTTACTCTCGTTGCTGATTTCGAGGTTACCAAAAATAATTTTGCCGTTTGCTTTCTCGTGGAATGGCAATAATTCTTCCTCTCCCTCCTCGATACTCCCTCCATTTATTTCTGGGAAAAAGGGTGATTAAACAGATAGGGGAGGGAGCGAAATGAAGAGGTAACGCAAACGTCAGCTCAGCGAGGATGGACGAAATTGTTTCGAAGGGTGGACTTTTAGAAGTTTCCAAGAAGGGAAGAGAAGTTGGGGAACTGTATAGCAAGTAGTGGTAAACTTCATCTCGCCAATCACGAATCTTTGCACAAATATCGGTATCGAAGGAGGGAGATTCCATCTTTCCATACCATTTTACCTTCCACGTTTCTTCCTTGAACAGGGTTGAAAGCTCGCTTCGGATCGCGACAACACCGGATCCTTTTCATCTTCATTTATCTTCCCTCCCTCCCCCAAGGAGACCCTCTGAGCGTCGTCCCTCTTCACACATTTGCCACACATTTACGACGAGGAGAGACCTTAGCAGGTTCGAGGCCACGAGGACACATATAGCATAATAACGAGGCATGAACATGGCGCGAACAACGCGGCCCGCTTTATTTCACCATCCCTGCACCCTGAAATATCTCGCGACCCTCTGAAATCACTTGCTAACTCTCGCCCTCCTCCTCCTCCTCCTTCTCCCCGTAATGCCTCTCTCTTCCTCGCATTCGCTTAATGCGCGGAACGGTAACTCATTCGAGACTCGTTCCATTCCCAGGGTGGAATGGATCTAACGTGGAGGAGAAACACGAAAATAGAATCTCTCCTCGATTTGTTGTCAACGAGATAACGTTGGAACAACGTAGAACGTTGCTCGTTGGCGTAAGTCGTACGATAAGTTGTATGACGAGTATAGTGATTTTGGAATTTTTTGAAAGCAGGATGTCACGATATTTACGTAACCATTATTTGCCATTACTTTTTTCCTTTTTGATACGTTGGGCTAAATTGGGAGATTGATACGCGACACTAGCGCCACGTGACACATTAACTACTAATGGTAGTTAAGACATTGCTTGCGCTCGATTTATTTAAATGCATTTCTATTTTTGAAAGTGGAACGCTTGAAACTGGATGGAATGGATGTATATTAATAGAGGAGCCCGAATAAATTCTTTTCTTTTTTTTTTCCACATTTTCTATATAAATTTCTCCGACGTAATAAAATCAATTCCCAAAAGATGCCTATAAACGAGGAAAGAAATTTCAGGGAGGGAGTATCTAAAAACTGTATCTATCCACTGGTCTATTCTTATGGGGGATGCAGTGTGCAAAACGAAGCCATTTCGTGACAGCCGATCTATCAAACCAACCTAGATCGAGACTTTTAATACGTTGGAATTTCCCGCGAGAGCAAACCCCTCCCTCCCGCGCCACCAGGGTTGGATAGGCACGTACAATGGAATTATGGTTCCCCTATGTTCCCATTACTATGCCATCTACGTTATGCGTTTCTCTATGCGCCCTTCCACTGTCTCCTTTCACCGTCCTTAACGACGCCCTTCGCCGTTTTATGACCTTGGCAAATAATCTCCCTGTAACTGACCGTGTCTTCGCCCGGGGAGGCGAACGACCTTTGATCGATGCCACCACCATTCCTTCTAATGCCTCGATACGAGCGGCTGTTTACGGACCATTTTGTCACCCCATTGCGTTAAACCCCATTAACTTTTGCGAGTGTGTAAGATGGGCATGATACGATTATTTTAATTGCGAACTTCGAACGCGATCCCTTGCTTCCCAATGCCTCGATATCGAGCTGATTAAGCTGTGGCAATGGCCTACCATTTCGTTACCATTAACTTATAAACCTTTTAACTTATTAACCTTTGTGAATTTATAAGGGTATGATTCGATTTTATTTTTTAATCAAAAGATTAAAACTTTGGATCTTTTTCGCGGTATCTTTCTCCTCGAATGGTGCCATTTTGTTACCATTGTCTCATTAATTTTTGTGAATTTACGACAATATGATTCGATTTTATTTTAATCGGAAAATTAATACTTTGCGGTTCTTTTTTCCTAGATGGTGCCATTTTGTTACCATTATCTCATTAACTCTTGTGAATTTATGGCAATATGATTCGATTTTATTTTAATCGAAGAATTAATACTTTGCGGTTCTTTTCTTCCTGGATAGTGCCATTTTGTTACCATTAATTTTTATAAATTTACGACAATATGATTCGATTTTATTTTAATTGAAGAATTAACACTTTGTGGTTCCTTTCTTCCTCCTTGGATGGCACTATTTCGTTACCATTGTCTCATTAACTTTGTGAATTTATGAGAATGTGATTCGATTTTATTTTAATCGGAGAATTAACACTTTCTTTTCTTCTTGGATGGTGCCATTTTTTTTACCATTGTCTCATTAATTTTTATGAATTTACGAGAATGTAATTCAATTTTATTTTAATCGAAGAATTAATATTTTGCAGTTCTTTTCTTCCTGGATGCCATTATCTCATTAACTTTTGTAAATTTACAACAATATGATTTGATTTTATTTTAATCGGATTGAACTTTGGATGCAGTTCCTTCCTTGCTGGATGGCGCCATTGTTTTAATAATTTATTCGTCAATTTATAAAGATTCGATTTTATTTGAATTGGAAGATTTGACATTTCGGATCGAGAAAATCGAAGGGTGGATATTGAT